CCCCAAAACCCCAAAACCCCAAAACCCCATCATCATTATAAATTTAGAATTTATGAAATAAAAATATATAATTTATTTTCCATCATTAAGAATGTTGATATGATTATTAAAATCAACTAAGCTACTTGTGATAATATCTTCAGTAGTATAATTTAAGATTAGTTTCATTTGCTGATTTATCATCATGCATTTCAGACTTGTACCTTGATTTATTAAGTTTCTTGTTCCCGCTGTATATCAGACTAACATCTGCTAATGGGTTTCCAAGTTTTAAACTTTACTGTGGCTTTATCTCACTGAAGTATGCTACTTTATCATATTCTCCCAGTTCATTGTACTATTTCTGAAGCTTTTCTTTTTTCTTCTCTATATTTTAATGCTTTAAAAGCACTTTCTGCTTTTGCATCTCTAGTAGTTTCCTCTGTTCTTGGAACTTTATCAGATGCTCCTCCTGCTTAAGTTTGCTTAGTTCCTTTCTCTTTAAGATTTCTTTAAGTTTCTACATCTAGACTTAATCATGAGTTTTATTGATGTCCTCAAATTTGTTCAGAAAACTGTTTTATCTTTCCATCCTCTAGGTCTAAATGTCTTGGTTGTTTACTCCTATCTAACTATACTTCTGCTCCCATTTGAGCTTTTTATGGGAAACTTTATCCTTTGTGGCAGACTTTATCCTCTCTCGTTTTTTCTCAATAGTAAAGGATTTATCAATAGTTTTAAGTAATTTCTCCTCTTTTTCTTGCTTAACTCATTGCTCATAATCTAGCTTTGACTTCATTACTTTTTCATGATATTGATTGCGAGATTAAATTAGCTACTACTTCTATACTTGAGATCTTTGAATAGATGTTTGAATTCTCTGGTTAAACTCCTCTAAGTCTACTTTAGTTTTCTAATCTATCTCTCTTGACTTCAATCTTTGAGACTAATTCGCCTTTTCTCTTACTGCCTAGATCTGCTTAAACTTCTCATAATCTTCCTTTGCCTTTTTCTTTTAAATGTCAATTTAATTCTTGAAACTCGATGAAAACTCACTCAGGTTCTTTTGAAATTGCACTAAGCTGCTATCTTCAAGATCTTTATGTAAGTCTGACCTTTGTCTTTACAAAGACTGAAATTTCTCATTTCTCTTATCAGCACTCTGTATTCTTGATCTCTATTAGACTTTCTAAAGCTTCTAGAATTTCTCAACTTGCTTCTCTTTTTTCATCAATTTTTTCTCAAAGTTTTCAATCAACTCTTAAGCTTGTTGTTGCAAATTAGTCTTGACTTTGTATTATTTAGATGTGTTCATTTGTCTGTTGGTTTGTATCTTGTCAGGAAGCCTATAACTTAGAGGGACCTTTAACTCTATTTTGGGATCTTTATTTACGATCAAGCTACTCTTATCAAGTTCAGGGCTTCTTAGTGTACTGCCAGTCTTGTATAAAAGTCTATTGCTATATTATTAATGGAAGCTCTGATAATTCTGTTGATATGGCATGCTATAATCTTAGGATGTTTTTAGTAACTTCTGATTGTTTCCCACCATTTAATATGAATCGGAGTTTGCTAGAACAGTGGCATTGTTTCTAGATGGTCTTATGAAATGAGAAAATGGAGTCTATCCTGAATGAAATGAGACTCGTCTAGCTTATTATCTAAATTTGATAAAATTTCAGATCTTATAAGATTTACCTTTGTGCTGAGTTAATTTCATTCATTTACATATTGGTAGGGAAGCTAATTGAATTATTCATGCTTGCATTATTTGTAGACATAAGGCCAGAAGTCATCATTCCTGTTCTTGTGTTTTTCTTGGCTGGTGATTCTTGATTAGAATTTGTGAATCCTGTTATATTATAACTGTTTCCATAATTCATCATAGTTTCATAAGGATTAATGGGAGTCTGAAGATGCTTGTTGATAAGCTAAATGGCTTTAATCTTTTTCTTGAGATAATGCTCGTATCTAGCCTCCTATACTGTTGATTCAACTCCCTTTTAAGCGAAATCACTGAATTTTCTAATATTTATTAACACACCCAATGGAATACAGTTCATCTAGATCTGAAAGTTTAATGCCTTTGTCTTTGCAGAGCTGGGTCACTTATTTTTAAAAGCCATTTAGATCCTCCTTATATTATCTATTGAATATGTCTATGAGCTCCTTATCTCTTTTTTCTCTCAATTGCCCAAAAGCTAATTTATGAGTTTTTAATAATTAATCATACTTCTAGAGTCTTGAGATAATTTTGATTGATTCAGGGGATTCTAGCTTGACTGATTCATTGGATGATGCTTATACATTTTTAATTAAATTTATTTATTCGGAAGTTTCTTATTAATTTTATAGGCATGGGGTTTTGGGGTTTTGGGGGGATC